CGGAGCCGTGGGTCAGCATCACCCGTGGGCGCAGAGCCCGGCGTCACCCAACAAAACGGGACGTGGGACGCAGAAGAAGCGCGAACCGCAGCCTGGACACATCCCAGCTCCGCCTCACGCTCTGGCAAACCCCTGTCTCCTTGGCCAGAGTCACTGAAGAGGTAGCAGCTCCATTTCGGGGGAGAAAGGATGGATGGATGGACAGATGGACAGGGCAAGCTCAGCTCTTTGGGGTCTCTGAGCCAGGGACCAGATTCCTCTCCCGGTGCAGCAAAACCCTTGAGCACAAATAACGTCGCCTCCAAGCGCGTGTCTAAACCCTCCCGGCTTAACGAAGCACGCGCTGGAGTCCCGCTGGAGACAAACCACATATTTCAGCGTTTAGTCAGTGTGTTGGACGAGGCTCAGGTGCTTGGCTTAATTTTGGGGCTGATCCTTCCCCCCCAGCCAGGAGGCAGCAGCCGCAGCTCAGCCCTGGGACTTCACCGCCTGGCTCCAGGGCTGCTCATCCTTCCAGCTCCTCGCCTCCGGATAAAATAATAAAACTGGGGGCTTTACCCAAGCACGATGCACATTTCACAAAAATATGGGATGACCACACACAGGGCAGGTCTGGGGGCACGCAGCCAGCTCCAAAGAGGTGTTTTTGGCACCGGGGGCGGGCGGGGTGTCCTTGGGGCTGACCGCTCTGACATTTGTTTGCTTTTCAGCGGGGCATGACATGCAAAGAGATCAAATGGGAAACAAGCCGGAAAAGGCCGGGATTGGGAAACACCGGTGTTTGCCTACGCCACCACATGGGACCTGCCTATGGTGCTGGTTTGGGAGAAGCCATATCCCACTCCGGCAAGTGGTTTTCCCCCTAGACCCCTTATAGCCCACAAAAAGGGCTTTCCTGCCTTCAGCGTGGAGATGAAACTCAGGTTTATTGAAAAGAGATTGTAAAAACAATTTATAGACCAAATCTTTACACCTGTTCGTGCGGGGGGGAGAGGGAAGGCACCAGTTGATGAGCTGGGAGGGCTCTGCAGCACATCCCTCCTCGCCAGACGCTTTCTTCCCGACAGCTCAGTGCCTTTTGGAAACAGCAGAGCTGCTAGTGGGATGTCTCTATTCTTGTGACTAAGGTTTTGTAACAAAAAGAATAAAAATCCAGAATGCGAGTACTTGTTGGGCTCATTTATGTGAAACTGTCAGCTGAACCAAGTTCTTCTTGCATGGTTTATAGCTTTCTGACTTGGATGGAGACGGATGGGGAGCTGTGAATATCAGAAACCTGACAGTTTCCAGCCTAGAGCCTGGTTTTTAAACATATATATTTTACAGGGAAAAAAAGTGTTGAAAGGGAAAAAAAAAAATATATATTTCACAGAAAAATGACTTTCCACGCTGCCTTGGCTGATGACAGCATGTTGCTTTGCTTATACAAGGATGGATTTAAGCATTGGAAGCAAAAATACAACTTCATACTCTAGTCAAAAAAAAAAACCCCACACAAAACAAAACAAAAAACATTAAATAGAGCATATGGGCCAAATACCCAGCTTTTCTCCTTAAAGCAGCACTCCCTGGCAGTGTTACAGTGGGTCTCCCTGCCCAAGCCACAGCTATCACCCTTC